TCAAGTTTTCGTTCAGTGTGTCGCCCGATCGTCGCCCGTGCGCCGGCCCTGGTTTGCGTCTCTGTCCCGAATCCCGGCCTCCCAGAGTGCGTGGGCGACATATGGCGCGACTTCGGAATTGCTCTGGCGATATATAGGTTTCCGACGCCCGTGCACCAGCAGCCATTTTGGCGGGCGCGGCGCACTCCCAGTTCGACGGTCCACCAACGCGTTCTGTTCCCAATTCGGCGCAAGAGGATTTGCTGGTGCTCATTGTCGGGGGCGCCAACCGTTGCTGAGGACGAATACGCCTCGCGTTGATTGGGGGCTGTGCGTGTCGCGCCCCGGTGGGGGTGACGTCGCGTCGCGCGACGCGGCGCCACTTCGCCCCGTCGCATCGCGCCCCGCACCCCCATGTCGTTTCGCTCCAATCCTCCTGCCCCCCCCTCTTCCTTCCTCTTCCCCTCGTCCAACGCGCTGCGCGTTTTGTCCCGTTTACGAAATTTGTATTCAGTTCTTTTATGTCAGGCTGCCGTCCTGTCCGCCTCCCTACTCGCCCCCCGTTGTCCTTCCACCCTCCTGGAACTTCTTCTCGCCCTCCTCGCTCCCGCCGCCCCCATTTCGATCGCCTTCCATCGCTCCCGCCGCCGCTGCGCCGCCCCCGCGCGCCCCCTCCTCGCCCGTCCGTTCCCATTTCCGCCCGCCCTTCCCTCGCCTCACTTCCATCTTCTTTTCCCCCCCAATGCATCGGCGGGCGAGACGTCGCCAAATTGCTGCAGCGACGGACCGATGTTCAACATCTGACGGGGCGTGCGCTTGAAATGGATTAGTCCGTGCGCGCTGCATCTCCATGTCGTCTCTTGGTCTCCTCGCGTTCGTAGTTCTCACGTGCGTGTCTCGCTATTTCTACGATTGCCGCGCGCATCCCTTGATTGTTTCGCCAGCGGGCCGTGCAGTTCACATGCCGTCAGGAGTCCACGGCGCCCTTCGAGCGATTCGCGCGCGACCTGCGCGCGACGCGCGAACGACCCGCGCGCGCGACGCGCGAACGACCCGCGCGACGCCCGCGCGACGCGCACGCGACGCGCGCGCGACGCACCCCGACCCGCGCGCGACGCACCCCTGCCGGCGCGCGACGCACGATCGACCCGCGCGACGCACGCGCGACGCACGCGCCACGCGCGCGACGCACGCGCGACGCACGCGCGACGCACGCGCGACGCACGCGCGACGCACGCGCGACGCACGCGCGACGCATGCGCGACGCAGTCGCGACTTTGCCCGCCCCTGACATTTCTCCGAGCAGCGATGCGCAACGGCCGTCGGCCCGCCGTGCTTGCGCTGTTCACAAGTGGCGGCGGCTGCGCCATCCATTGCGCCAGGAAGGGCGGTGCTTGCCCCTGTGATTTCCCTTTTCCTTCCTCGTCGTCCCTCCTCTTTTGTCATTCCTCCTCCTCCTTCGTCCTCTCTCCTGCCTCGCCCCCCTCTCTCCTCCCCTTCTTTTCCTCCTTTCTACCAGCCTCCCTCTGTCAGTGCCTCCCCCCTCCTCTCTCGTCTTTGTTTTTTTTTCCCTTGCCACCCCGTGCCCCTCTTCATTCTCTTTTCTCCTTCGGCCCCCCTTCCACGGCCGCGGCGCGTCGCCGCGAGCGGCGCCCCCGCCTTCCGCGAACGGCCCCGCCGCTGGCGGTGGAGGAGGAAGATCACGAGGAGAAAAGGAGGGGGGAGGGGCAGGGGCGCGAGGCGGGCGCGGCGGCAAGGGCGGCCCGACAGGTGCAGGGGGCGGGGGGAGGGACGGAGTGGGCGGGTGCTTCTGTAATGGTCATGTTGGTGATCATGGTCGTGGTCGCGTTCGTCGCCTTGGTCGCGTTGGCGGCGGTCGTGCCGCTGGTGGTGGGCGGGCTGGTGGTGGTCACGTCGGTGATCGTGCTGGTGTCGGTCGTTGTGGTGGTCGCGAGAAGCGTGGTGGTCGTGGTGGTGATGATGGCGGTAAATGGTGTTGGTCGTAATCGTCGCGGTGGATGTGGTTGCGGTCGCATCCATTTGTGGTGATCGTGGCGGCGGTAGTTTTGGCGCTGGCGGCGGTTGCGGCGGCTGTGGCGGCGGCTGGGGGGACCTGCTGGCCTATCGCCGGGCTGCGTTCAGCAGCATCGCTGAATGTGTAATGTTAGTGGGATTTGCAGATCTGCCGAGGTAGCCCAGCGGCCGCCTTCTTCTCGCCAAGAGGGCCGCAGCGTGGGCGACTTTCTTCTTCCCGAAGGCGATCAGCCTTTTTAAGCGGCCGTGGAGAGGGCGACGCGCGTGCGATCCGCCCCGTGGGCGTCCGCCGCGCTGGCGACGCACTCACCAAAGTGCCCCCTTGCGAGGGCGACGTGCGCGTTCGAGAGGGCGGCTGGCCTTTTCGGCGGCCGACGCACGGGCGACGAATGCGCGACGCACCTCCTGTCGCGAAGGGGGGGGGGTCAGCACGCCGGTCGCTTTACTGGGCCTTGACAGCAGAGACCAAGCATTACGAGCCTCTCTATGTTTGCTCCAATGTGCGCAGAGAGACCGAGACCGAGGGCCCCGCGATCATTCCCTCTGCGTCAGATTTCCCTTGGAGTAGCTTCAGCGACCTACCAGTCTCGGTTTCCGCGGCGCTGGCTCTCGTCGACAGCATGACCCACGGCGACCTCCTGGAGCGTGGCAGAAATCTATAGCACGCGTCCCGGGGGGATAATAAACCAATCGAAGACAGCCGGGGAGAGTTGGTGGAAGACGGCGAGACTGCAGGATCTAATGGATCACATCGGGGTCCTCGGCGAGCACGGACCGAGAGAGGGGCCGCAACGCCCTCTTGAAAACATCCACGGGGCGTCAAACGCAGTCCACCTTCCAAAGGGATGCGTGGACATCGCTCCACCAGCTTGGGGGGCCACCTCGGAGGCCATGCGCGCCGCGATGACAATCGACCAGTGCGTCTCCACTCTTGCGGTGGAATCATCTCCAGCAAAGAAGGGTTATATTTGTTTCCGAATCTTGGGACCGAAGGGCACTGCATCAGCGCCCAGTGTAGGAAGAGCGACAAGCTTACCAGAAAGAGGAAGCAAGTCCTCGAGACATTGATGAACCCCGAGTGGAAGGCATGTGCCAAGGTCGACCCGACGAGGGGCCACATGATCAACACTTCCTTGACATTACGAATGTTTTGGGCGTGTTCTGGAATTCCACTCTGGCAGATTCAGGTGTCGAAAGGGTCCAAGTTTGCCCGCGAAAATCTCACGGGGCTCTTCGACGGCAAATCTAGGAAATGGCGGGCCATCGATGCGCCCGCGGCGTGCGCCAAGGAGATGCAGCAAGGCAAGGATCTCAGCAACCCAGACGCCGATGTCCAGACCGCCCACCACGGCATCACATTGGCAGTTGTTGCTTGTATCTGGAATAAAGCAGGCCAGTGCAAGCTGAAGCGCGGACCCTCGAGCACGGACAACATCTTCGGCGTTTATAGTGAAGCGACACTTCGCCGTATCTCTTGCACTCGCTACGCGGTGCACTGTTGTCAGATGTCGGCCCCGAGATGAATCTAGATTTGTGCATCTTCGAGATACACGTGGTCCGCGAGCGGCGCGCAGGCTATCCCGTCGCGCGTGCTCACCGCCAGCGGCGCCAAGCCGAAGGCAGCACCTGCGTCGCCGAGCTGTGGTACCACGCAGCCACGATGAGGGAGATCTGGGACAGTTTCCAGACGGAGCAGCAAGTCTTTGCGCGGTGCAGGATACGGAATCGCACAGTGAGGATACACCATGCAGCACCGGCTACACCCACGGCGTTTCCGAACGTCCACGCGTACTCGGACGGGGAGACCGAGGACTGACCTGGCGAATTTCGAGGTCAAGCTGATACCCGAGAACGAGAGATGGTTCCCTCAATGCCACAGAGCTCAGTGCAGTATCCTGCTACCTGGAGCGAATTGGATACCAGTGCGACCCCAGCGGCTCCGAGCCGCAGTGCTTCATGGACGGGATGGGAAAAGCTGCGGACGAATCAGGATCTGACAATCCCTTCACGGGGCCAGGATCTGACAATCCAGTCATGGACCTCTTCCCTGGGGCGCTCTGAAGGCCTACGCGTTCGCGTGGCCGTGCCGGCTGTGCGTCGCAGACGCCTTGGGACTACGTGGGAAGGCCACGGGATTGGATTGGCTACGGCTTTCGAGGATTGTAAGCCGAAGTTCTCGGACTGAAGCGACGCGGCGTTTCGGCTGCAAGGAAGGCGGGAGTTGTGGTTGCCATGCCAATGTCAGCCTCTCCTCCTGCGCCTCTCTCCCACCTCCCTTGTGTGCCGCCGGTTTGGCTTACAGGGGCCCATGGGCCACCTGGCGCGCAGGCGACGGGCGCGCCCTGGCCCCGGAAAAGGAAGGAACGCGTACTCTCTCACAGCACGGGCGACCATACGTGTCCTTCGTGTCTTCTTGTGTTCCATACAGGTACCCCCGTGCGTTCCACACGGCCCTCATAATTTAGGCTCCCCCCCGATGGACTAGGGGCATTTTAACTACCAGGTGCTCGTTTTCCTATTCATTGATTCGCCTGTCGACGCGGGCTCTTGCACCTGCCCCCCTCGCATGTTTCGAGCAGGTGTGGTCTCCCCCGTAGTTCGCACTGCAGCAAACAGTCGCGTTCAGCAGAGGTCTGGAAACAGGCCCCCCTCCTTGCCCCCTTTTCCGCCCAATGTCGAAACGCCGAATGCGACCACGTTCACAAGATAGGAACTCAGTCCCTAGTGCTTTCGGCCCTGCTAACTTAGGTCGCCTCCCACAGGATCAGGGTTACTTTGATTGCCATGGTGCGGCTGTTCCATGGCAGCTTAGGTCCCCTCCTAATTCAGGTCCCTTCCCAACTTCGGTTCCCTTCTGACTCGGGCCCCCTCCTAACGTAGGTCCCCTCCTGTCCTGGGCCCTTCCTAACTTAGGTCCCCTCCTCCCTGTGGTGCTTTCGTTGCCGTGGTGCGGTGGCATTGCGCCGCTGCCCGAGCCTCCGCGCCAGGCGTCCCGAGCTGGCGGGCGCAGCGCGGGGCGGTTGCCACCGCCTGGGCTCCGCCGAGGGCGCCCGCCGGCCTGCGTGGGCCCCTGTGGCACGCGGCGGTTGGCGCCACGTGGGGCAGAGGGCTGGGGTGTCAAGCAGTGGCGAAGCGTCCTGGCTTGCCTCCCAGACCCCTTTTGCGTGGTGACAGATATCACGACAGGAGATTTCTGTATATTTTCAGCCTCCCGGGGCCCTTCCCAGGCCTCGGGACCGTCAGAGAACGAATCGAAATCAAAAACCTGTCCAGGGGACGGGGTCCAGACCCCTGGGGGTCGACGTTGTGAAAAAATCACGCCGTCGGGGGCTTGGGCTATATGTAAAGGCCCACCAGGGAATGTCCAAAGAAGTTGTTTTTGGCCTGCGCGAGGTGCCCGTCGAACATGTATGGTTGAGGTGGTTCGGTTTTAGCACATCGGGCTCGCGTTCTAAGAACATCGTTTTTGTTATTAGAACATGCGCTGGTCCCAAAAACATGGTGTGTAAGCCTGCAGAACTGCCGGGACGGTTCGCCCCTGCCCGACCCGCGGGGGGAGGACCGGTTTGGCCTTTGGGAAGGGCCCTCGTCGCCGCGGCTTGGCGCAGCCTGGAGTGCCGGTGTGTTTTTGGACTCCGGGGAGGGGTCCCGGATCTGATGTCGAGCTGCCGTTGTCTCGGCTCGCCCTGCTGCGAGTCGGGGGCAGCGTTAGTTGTGAGGATCTCGCGCGGCGCGCAGTAGTTGCACTATCTAGTCTACATGTCATCTCCGCAAGCTATAGGTCGACGTTCGCGCGGCGATGCTCCGGCGTCAGTCCGACGTAAATCCAACGCAATTCCGACGTAATCCAACGTGAACCCCACGGAAAGCCGACGAAATCCGACGTGAGCCCGACGTAAATCCGACGTGGCTCCGACGTAAATCGGGTGTCGAATTGCCACGCGAGGTATCAAGGATTTTCTTCGTAATTAACGTTAGCAAGGGTGCCCTTCGGCCATTTTCCCCTTTTTGGGCCTCCTGGGAGGCCCTCGTCGCCACCGCTGGATTCGCCTTGAAATTCTGGTCGGAACGCGCCCTGGGAGAGGTCCGGGCGGTAGCGGTATCGGTGCCTGGCTTGTCCAGAAGAGCCGGTGCTTTTGGGCTCTGGGAGGGGTCCGGGGCGTGATGTCAAGGTGCCGTTGTCTCAGCTCGCCCTGCTGCGAGTCAGGGGCAGCGTTGGCAGGGGTGCCCTCGAGGGCGCGAAGTGTTCCGCGCTTCGCGCTTCGGCTGCGATTCTTCCTCGTTCTCCTCTTGTCCCCTGGGGGGGGCGGCGCGGGAGCTTGAAACGATCTGTGCTTCGCGCTTCGCGCGGAGCGCGAACTTGGGCACCCTTGATCGGTTTGGCCATGAAGCGGACGGGTCCTGTCGGACGAGCCTAGGTCGAGAGGCATCCGTTCCGGAGCCTTTTGAAACACTCTCGGAGCGTTCCGGAACGCTCTGAAGCGACCGCGGCGCCCGATACGGATTCAGACCCGCCGCTTCTCACATGCACCTGTGCTCCTCCCCAGCGACCTTCGGCCCTCCCGGGCTTCCCGGGGGCTTCTCGTCGCCGCGCCCGGCTGCGCGCCGAAAAACGGAGCAGTTTGGACTGATGGGCGGCCGATTTTGCACCACCATTACCATAGGTAGGGGAGGGAGGAGGAGGAGGAGGAGGAGGAGGAGGAGGAGGAGGAGGGCCTCCCTATGCTACCTTCTCTCCCGTTCTACATGTGGCAGCGGTGGTGGGAAATGGGCCCCTCATGAACCCTAGGAGGACTGGAGACTGGAGTTAAGTCGGGCACGTCCCTCTACAGGAAGAAATTGTCAAAAGTAAAAATTGTTTGGGGACGATTTTTCTGTCAATTTTGACAATTTTTGAATATTTTGTTTGAACTTTTTTGTCCAAATAGGGTGACATGCCCGACCTAGACTGGTGGGGAGCGGAGCTGGGCCTGGCGGGAGGTCAGCCGCGGGTCTCAAGGGGCCTTCCTCCAAGAAGCGGGCCACGTGACATGTCGCACCGTGTCCCGGCTCCCAGGGCCCCCGAGGGGCCCTCGGATTGTCAGACAGCAAGTCGGGATGAAGAAAATTGGTGCTGAGGTGAGGCCCCTTGGTCCAGGGCAGTTTCCCTTCTGGACCTTTTTGTTATTTGTGGTCATGGAACATTTACCGATGCTGACGGTGTGTGTAGAATTTGGCATTCCTCGAACGTGTGCATTTTTTCTCGGCGAGGACCGTCGAGGAGCGTCTTGGATCATCTTGCAACAAAAAACGCGCACGACATCGAAACATGCACGGGGATTGGACGTCCGAGCGATGGCAAGTTGTTCTTCATGGCCATGAGAAACAAACATATGTATCGATGCTGACGGTGTGTGTGTGTGGTTGTGTGTAGAGCCGGGGTTTCTTTTCAATGTCGGCCTCCGCGGGGCCCATTTCTCAGATCCCTCATCCTTTCAGGCATCGTCATCATTTCAGTCGTCCTCAGCTTTCTTGTGACCAACTCCGTCATCACAGACGCTGAGGATGAGAGCAGCTCATCACCCTTCTCGCGGCAAAGGCTAGGGCAATCGCATCAAGAAGCAAGCTGCTAGCTATCCCCTCGTCAGACAATGTCCTGAGGCGCGAGCCGATCATCCTCATCGTTGTCGTCATCGTCATCATCATCAGCATCATAGCATCATCACTAGCACCATCAACGTCATCGTAGTTGTCGTCATCGTCAGCAGCTTCAACATCAACATCACCATCATCAACATCATCAGCATCACCAGCATCAGACGCATCATCATCATCACCGTCATCATCACCATCATCATCATCATCATCATGATCATGATGATCATCATCATCATCATCATCATCAGCATCATCAGCATCAGCATCAGCATCAGCATCAGCATTATCATCACCATCACCATCACCATCACCATCACCATCACCACCGCCATCGGCGTCAGCGCCAGCGTCAGCATCATCGCTATCGTCAGCGCCATCGTGGCGAGTATCTCTTTCTCCCCCAGGTTGGCCTTCCTCTCCCTCCCGCCGCACCTGGACCTGCTCTCCGGCCAGACGCGGCCTGGCTCGTGGCCTGCAGGGCCCTGGCCGCGCAGCGGCGGGTGGACCCAGACAAGCCCAAGCGGCCCGTTTCCGCGTGCCCTCGGGGAGCGGGGCGTGCTTCTCCTCCTGCTGCTGCTGCTGCTGCTGCTGCTCCTCCTCCTCCTCCTCCTCCTCCTCCTCCTCCTCCTCCTCCTCCCCCTCCACAATTACTCAATATGAATACTACTCTCCCTCTTCCCCTGATGGCGTGCTGGGAGTGGCCGACTCCCCCCCCGCGTATTGTTTTTTACACAGGATTCCCGGAGTTGGGTTTTCGCCTGCGTTTTTTTTCAAAATGCTGCTCTCGCTGAGGCGCCGGCCTCATTTCTGCTCCCGAATCGTTCCGAATCGTGCTCCCGCTGCAGCGTGGGCCTCATTTTCGGATCGGTGTTTGGCTTCCGTCGTTCAGGATGGCGTTCTCGCCCCAGCGCGGGCCTTTTTCTCGCGCGCCCATCCGCCCGCCACCACCGCGCCGCACCGCCACCACCACCACCACCACCACCACCACCACCACCACCACCACCCACCACCACCACCACCACACACCACCACCACACCACCACACCACACCACCACCCAACCACCACCACCACCAGCACCACCACCCACCACCACCACCACAACCACCACCAGCACCACCACCACCACCACACCACCACTACCACCACCACGACCACCACCACCACCACCACCACCACAACCACGCACACACGCACGCACGCACGCACGCGCACCACCACCCACTACGCACGCGCGCGCGGAGCCACAGGTCCGCTACGACACGCGTCCGCGGATAGAGAAAATCAGCGCCATGGTAAGGGATGGGAGGGAGGGATAGGACGTCAGATATGACGCGAGCGCACCTAGCTTGTCCCCCTCCTCCCCCTCCCCCTCCTTCCTCCGCCTCCTCCCCCTCCCTCGCGTGCCCTCGAGCCTCCGCTCGTTCCGAGTCCGCGCCGCGGGAGCCCTTCCGCTCCTTCCCCCCTCGCCGCGGGCCGTCCTCCCTCCCCTCGCCTCCGTGGCCGCCGCCGCCCCAGCCGGTCCGCGGCTGGGCGCCGGGAGCAGTACTGGCGCGCAGAGGCGCGGGCCGCTGCTCGCCTCCTGGACGCGTTCGCGGCGGTCGCGGGCCACCGCTGGTCCGCCGCCACCCGCCTCAGCGCGGCCTTCGCGGAGGCGCTCGCGCGGGCGGACAGTCCTGGCGATGCTGGAGGTGGCGGCGCGCAAGTCGGAGCAGATGACGCCGCTGAGATCGACGCCGAGTTCGCGCAGCTCCGCGCCTCGGCCGCGTCGCGCGTCGTACTCCTTGTGACGCCAGCGCGGTGCCTTTCGGGCGCGGTGGTCCTGCCGCTTCTGCTTGCCCCGGCGGTCGGCGTGGACATGGCTGCCATCGAGGTGTCCTTCAGACGGCTACCTCCATCGTCGAGGAGACGGAGGCCGACGTGCGCGCCCTGGCTCACCTGGCCGCGCTTGGCGCCCTTTCTTCGGGGTCGCGGGCAAGGAGCAAGGACAAGAACAAGGTCGACGCCGCCGAGCTGGCCAGGCAGGAGATCAACCTGGCCTCCGCCGAGCGCCGCGAGCTGGAGGCCCAGCTCGCGGCCGCCCGCGCCGCGGCGGTGGAGCTGGCGGCGGCGGCTGGCACGGAGACTTGAGCGGCAGGGCCGTCACGAGGGACGTTGGCGACAAGCTGTGCTGGAAGCCCGCGTGCGGCCGTGGCCGCTGCGATGCTGCCGCCCGAGGCCCGCTCATCTGGGCGCCGCAGCGGGATGGTGGCGTGGCGACCCTTCGAGGCAGTGGCCAGCTCTTCGGGGCGCCTCGGCGGCAGTGGGCTGCTGATCTTGGCGCCGCAGCGATGAGTAGTGCCACCGGCGGCAGTGGCCTGCTCCTCGCGGCGCCACTTTTCGACGATGAGGTCCCTTCTTCCTGCGGCAGTGGCCCGTTCATCGGGGCGCCGCATGCAGTTCGTGGTCCTTTCCCTCTCAGCGGCAGTGGCCCGCTCATTGGGGCGTCGCTGGTCGGGGGTGACTTTGCAGAGGTGAACGCTGATGGCTCCGACTGCGTCGAGGTCGGCACAGACGACGTCGTCGCGGCGGAGGCCCGGGCCGTCAGCGAGCGGGACGGCGGCGAATCCCTGCGCCAGGTAGAGGGCGGGGCCATGCTGGAGTCCCCTCCTGAGGCCGCTGGCCCTTCCTGCGACACGAGCGCGGGAATGGGGCGCGTCGGCTCCGACCGACTCAGTTCCGCTTCGCTCTCACTCTCGCTCACTATTTTTTCTCCCCCCTTTCTCCCTCCTCCTCCTCCTCCTCCGCCTCTTCCTCCGCCTCCTCCTCCCCCTCGTCCTTCGGTGCGGTTTCGGCCCTCGGCGCTGCGTGCCGGAGACCGAGCAGGGCGCCAGCCACGGCCTACCGGTCAGGGCAAGCGCGATAGCAATACAACCCAAACGCGATTGAAACATTCGCCTTCCTCCTCCTCCTCCTTCTCCTCCTCCTCCTCCTCCTCCTCTTCCTCCTCTTCCTCCTCTTCCCTTCTCCTCCTCTCCTCGTCCTTCTCCTCCTCCTCGTCGTCCTCCTCCTCCTCCTCGTCGTCCTCCTCCTCCTCCCTTCCCCTCCTCCTCCTCCTCCTCCTCCTCCTCCTCCTCCTCCTCCTCCTCCTCCTCCTCCTCCTCCTCCCCCCCCCCCCCCTTTCTCCTCGTCCTCCTCCTCCTCCTTCTCCTCCTTCTCCTCGTCCTCCTTCTCCTCCTCCTCCCCCCCTCTTCCACCCCCTCCTCCTCTTCCTCCTCCTCCTCGTCCTCGTTTTCCTCCTCGACCTCCTCCTCCTCCTCCTCCCCCTCCTCCTCCTCCTCCTCCTCCTCCTCCTCCTCCTCCTCCTCCGCCTCCTCCCGCTCCTCATCCTCCTTCCCCTCCTCACGGAGCGTGCAACGACTGCGCCAAGGTGGGTGTGGAGCTGCATGCAGGCGCTGCCTCTGGGGCCTCTTCTGGAGCTCCCTATGGGGGTACGAACCGCGGGAGGGGTGTGCCGAGATGGGGGTGCAACTACACGTGGGCGCTGCCACCTTCGGTGGAGCTCTCTATGGGGCTCCGACGTCGTGTGAAGGGTGCACCGAAATGGGTGGCGGAGCTGCATGCGACCTGTCCCAATGGGGCCTTCGGTTGAGCTCCCTATGGGGCCACGAACCGTGCGAGGGGTGGAACTGCATGCGAACTTTCCCATTGGGGCCTTCGATGGGGCTCCTTGATGAACCACGAATCGTGTGTGATGGGGGCAGAACTGCATGCGAATTTTCCAAGTGGGGCCTGCGGTGGGGTCCCTTGAGGGGCAACGAACCGTGTGAGGGGTGCGCCGAAAATTGGTTGTGGTGCCACCATTCGAATTTTCCCACTGGGGCCTTCGGTGGAGCTCCTTGTGGGGCCACGAGCCGTGTAAGATGTGGGCGGGATTGCATACGAACCCTGCCACAGGGATTTGATGGGGCACCCTACGGGGCCACGAGCCGTGTGCGGGGTGCGCCGAAATGGAGGGTGGAACTGTATGCGAATTGCCCCACTGGGGCCTGGAACTGCATGCGAACTTTCCCATTGGGGCCTGCGAATGGGCTCCCCTGTGGGGCTACTACGAACCGTTTGAGGGCTGCGCCGAAATTGGGCGGTGGTGCCATTCGAACTTTCCCATTGCGGCCTTCGGTGGAGCTCCCCATGGGGCCACGATCCGTGTGAGGGGTGCGCCAACATGGGGGCGGAACTGCATGCGCGCCCTGCCACTGGGGCCTTCGGTGGGGCACCCTATGAGGCCACGAGCCGTGTGAGTGGTGCGCCGAAATAGGCGATGGAACTGCATGCAATTTTTTCCGCTGGGGCTTGCGATGGAGCTCCGGGCCACGAACCGTGTGAGGGGTGCGCTGGAATGCGGGCGGCACTGCATGCGAACTTTCACATTGGGGACCTTAGGAGGAGCTCCCTATGGGGCCACGAACCGTGTGAGGAGTCTGCCGAAAGGGGGATGGAACTGCATGTGAATTTTCCCACTGTGACCTCAGGTGGGGCTCCATAGGGCTGTGAGGGGTGCGCCGAGATGGAGGGTGGAACTGCATGCGAATTCTCCCACTGGGGCCTGCCGTTGGGCTCCCTGAAGGGGCCACGAACCGGGAGAGGGGTGCGTTGAAAATTGGCGGTGGTGCCTCCATGCGAACTTTCCCACTGGGGCCTTCGGTGGAGCTCCCAGTGGGGCCACGAAACGTGTGAGGGGTGTGCCATGATGATGATGATGGTGATGATGATGATGCTGATGATGACGATGATGATGCTGCTGCTGATGATGATGATGGTGATGATGATGGTGATGTCGATGGTGATGGTGATGGTGATGGTGATTATGACAAGGCGGGCAGAGGCAAGGATGAGGAGGAAGGAGGAGGAGGGAGGAGGGGAGGAGGAAGGAGTGAGGGACTCGGGGTGCTGTCTCTCCAAAACGAGGACCCAACACTACTGGATGGTTGGGAAAACAAGCTGTGGCTCAAGTGTCAGAGTATAGAGTCAGAGGGGGAAGAGGTACTCATACCGCTGCCCTTGCCTCGCCTTCGCCTCGTTGGGGCCTTCCGCAGGAGACCCTCGTCTCCACCGCTGGATCCGCCCCGAAATCGTGGTCAGGACGCACCCCTGGAGAGGTCTGGGGAGTCGCGGTATCGGTCCCTCTTTGCTTCCCCACAGGAGTGGCCCGCGACGGCGTGCCTTCCGGGGCAGGGCAGTCGGCCGGGGCTGGGGCAGGGGCGAGTCGTTCCAGACTGCGCCAGAGCGCTCTGGAACGGGCGCGGCGCCCGATGCATCCTTCAGAACCGCTGGGTCTCCGAGATCCCCAATGTAGGGGGCGAAGAACGGTCCAAGTTATAGATTTTTCCGCCATCGGGGACGCCTGTCCCTTGGGCGGCTGCAAAGTTTATGCCCCTGCGTGGTACCGTAGGGGTATAAACTCTCAGCCGCTCGGGGGACAGGCGTCCCCGACCTCGGAAAGTCTCTGTCATAATTACCGTTCTCCGCCCGCTAATGTGTCCTGGTCCGATCTTGACTTGGTCTTGGCTCCGTCTTACGCGGGCCGTTCGGCGTCGGCCCCTTTCTGTGCCGAGATTTTTCCGATGGTGTAGTTTCTTCAATCTTGGCGCTGCCTTTCGACTCGGCCCTCGGGGGCCGTTGTATCGGGCCCCGGGACCACACAAATGCTTCCGTGGCGAGCAGTGCTGGCCCCAGGGGGGTCGGGACCTGTGGGACCCCTCCCCGTCCTGTTCCTCTTCCTCCTCCTCCTCCGCCTCCTCCTCCTCCCCCTCCTCCTCCTCCTCCTCCTCCTCCTTTTCCTCCTCCTCCTCCTCCTCCTCCTCCCCCTCCTCCTCCTCCTTCCCCTCCTCCTCCTCCTCCTCCTCCTCCTCCTCCTCCTCCTCCTCTTCCTCCTCCTCCTCCACAAAGCATGTCTTTGGATGTCAGGGTATCGGGGCTCGCGCACCGGGGGGCAGCGCCGGCGGTTCAGCCAATCCCCTCGGGTTGGCCCGTGTTCGGCAGCCATGTGAAACCGCCCACAAGGAGCCTCGCCTTGCACAATCGAAGGATAGGGTGCAGTCAACCCGCATACTGAGGATGGGCATCCTTCCCAAGGGTGCCCTTGCATCCGGGCCCCCTCGGCTATTCCTCAGCGACTCTCGCTGGCCAACCTCGTTCGAAAAGCGCTAACGTGGCCATCCAAGGCCCCTCCATCCTCACCGCGCAGCCCAGGCAGGCTGCATCCCTTCCGCCCGCTGGAGCCGGCGGGAGGATGCCGGAGGGTGGCGGGAGGGAGGTGGCGGCCCCGCGGGCGGAAGACCGGCGGAAGCAAGAGAAATCACCCCTCCAGGAGGTGACAGTTCTCATGGGCAACGATAGGGGGCGATAGGCACAGGGGGGATGCATGGACCCCCAATCGCCCAGTGATCGCCGACACGGGCCCGATGGCCCCACCCCGCCCAGGAACGGGGGGATCCGCTGTTGGGGGCCTATCGCCGACCTATCAGTGATGTATCGCCGATTCCAGGTCGATGCGCCCCCCCTCTATGCCTGTGCCCCCCTAACGTTGCCTGCCAAGAGATGACACTTTTCAGGGGGTGCATGGTTTCCGGAGCCTGCCACAATTGAGGAGCCGACACCCCCCAATCCCCTGCCTCTTTCAGCCAGTGCCCCTCGGTCGTCGTCGTCGTCGTCGTTGTCGTCGTCGTCGTCCCGGCCGTCGCCTCCTCCCGCTCGCCCCGAGGCTTGACCCAGAACCCCTGCGCCGTTCAACCACCGCCCCGCCAGCGATGGCATACGCATGGAGGGTCGGTGGCAGATCCCCTGGGCAAGTCCCAGGCTGTGTGTGAAGTCCCTTCATATATTCATTATATCCATAGCCATTGCTGCCATCTCGGTTTAGATACTGGAGACAGGTACAGCGCCGCCTGACCGCGGCGCGTGGGAAAAGGATCGCTACCCTCTCCCTTACCTTCCTGTACCCACGGGAAACCTTGTAGATTCGACTTTTCGGTCGTCAACCTACCTACACAGGTTATCAGCCTCTTCTATTTAGCTTTCCATGGTGACACCCCGCGTCGCCTTATACTCATCCGCGTGGCGCTGGACCCCACGGTGGCCAGTGCCTCTATGCGTGCTGGGTCTTCGACGGAGCGCGGGCGTCACGACGCCACCGAGAGGGCAACAGGACTGGCGATACCGCCCTTCCCCCTTCCAGGTGACGGCAGTGCCGACGCGCTCGAGGCTGCACCCGAAGACATCATGGACTCCGACACGTTTCCCGCGCCGGCGCCTTGTCACGCGCTAGGGTTCGGACACAACGCCCCGTTGACTATGACGTGCCTTGGCGCCACCTTTATTTCGGAACCTTCGCCGGTGGAAGCACCCGCGATGCCATCGAAACCGCCGCTGGATTCGCCTCGCCTCCTTCTCCTTTTAATTTCGCCGGTGGAAACACTCGCGGTGGTGGCGCCAGTGCAACGTCCCCCCAAAGTGCTTCCGCGCGACACCGTCGCTGGGACGCACGGCGTCTCATGAGCCCCGCCGCGGTTTCCGTTGTAGAATATGGGCTAGTCATAGACGATCGCGTTGGACGGACGTCGCAGCGAAGAGCCCCGAGCGGTATCAGTTCCACTCCCCAAGTAGGGGCAACATCCCCAGCCCCTCCCGGAGGCGCTCACGGCAGTGTTCCCTGCGGCGCGACATCGCGCCGCGAGCGTCGCTTTTGCCCAGTGACCAGGCAGAGCGTAAAGACCAGGTTGAAACTTACACGACCCAGCAGTGGACAGGTCTTGCTGCGCAGACAGCAGCGGTGACGAAAAAAAACTCCACATCGCTTTTGCCCTCGTCGACGCTCGGGTCGCCGTACATCCGTCGATCCTCAGTCACGTCTAGTACCAAGCCGACCGCATTGAAACACGGCGAGATTCCGACTCCAGTGCATCGCAGACGCTCCTCGACTACCTCCCCGCAGTGGAAGCCCAACTCGTGAGCGTCAGGGACGCGGGCGCTGCTGCTGCCAAGACACCTACACGACGATCTCCTGACAGTGCGGCATGCTCCAGCTACTGAAGTGCATGCGACTTCGGAACCACAGCTCTGTGATGACTTCGCTGCGTTTTGTGATTTCGTTGATGCGACCACTGCCGACCTCCACCCCGAGCGTACCACAATCACGTCCGAGTTGCACGGCGAGCTGCGTAGTGTCCATATGGCTATAATGCAACGTTTTGATGCATCAGAGGTTCGCGTGCCAGCGCTTGAGAATGGAGTCTCCACGGTCGATCATAACTTATTTGACGTGCAGGCTGCAGTGGTTGAGTTGCATGTTGTACGGACCCAGACTGGCCAGCTGGGCACCCCGACTTCGGTTTTCGATTTCGCCCCCCTCGCTGCCGAGATGGCCGAGGCAAGGGACGCGGCGGACCACGTGCAGTTACGACTCATCCAGATCTCCCACCATCAACAGCAACACCCATCCTTTGGGGAAGTTCGAGGAACGGAGGAAGCAGGAAGAGTCTTTGGAAACCCACCTGGCCCGAAGCTGGGCGAAGTCGTCCCTTGCGAATGTAAAACAGTTGCAGCGTCTGGATGTTTCGGATGGCGACGGGGGCCTCCCAGGAAGCCCGGCAAGGTGAAAGATGGGGACGGGCACGAGGGCACCAGGCGGATCAGTTATGCTTTCACCCGCTCTGTAAAGAGCTCTGCAACCGCCCAGCAAACCCCGACAAACCCTGGCCAGCTCTCCCGGCCAGCCCCTCCGGCCAATTTTGGTTAGGGTGGTTAGGGTAGTTTTTTGTCCACGCTATATGGTGCGACAGTCTATCCCAGTTCTCCACCCCTCATCGAGCACAACAGAACCCCGAACCCCAACGATGCGATGAAAATGCGGCCTCATTGCGGCCCCCGTCTTCGTACGAGGGATGATATTTCTGGCCGGTTTGGTCTGATACATTTGCAGAACGGACCCCTTTTTTTCCCCTAGTACTGTTGCCCCACGCTCCCCTCCCCTCTCTCGGCTGTCCCGGGATCTTTCGTACCGCCCTCTCCTTGCCCGGCTGGTCCTTGGAGATCCATTCCCCGTGGATCCTTCGACAAGAGGGTTTGCTCAATCCATCCTCATCCCCATCAATTGCTCGACCTCCCCATTTAAAACCATCCTTGACTTTTTTCTCGACCTCATTCCTATTCCCCTCCTGTTCCTCTTTCTGACTCTTTCTCCTTCTCCATCCCTCACTTGTCGTCCTCCTCTGCATGTTCTGCTTGCGCCAGTCAGGTACATGCGATTCCTGAGTGACTTCCGGTCGCAGAAGTCTGCCGACCTCGGCGGGAAGGACCTTTTGAAGGCCCCAGGTTCTCCGAATAAGGCAGAAACAAGTGGGACTTGGAGGGTCGCGCCGCACAAATCGAGTGTTTTGGGACATAACACGCCTTCCCTGGTTGTTCAGCGCTGGGTCCCAAAAAGCGGCCCAGAATGAACGACAGGTTCCCCCCGTCAACGGGCCGATAGGTCTGGGCGTCCTCACCGCCGAAGCATATGCTTTGCGACAGGATCCCCCTTCGCTTCCTAATTTAGCGGTGTCAGTTATTAGAATGGCGACCCGTTTGTCAGCGATAATTACAGGCCCATTAGTCTTCTTCCAACAGGATGCACCAGCGTTCGCTATGGTATTGTTGGAGTGGTTGAAAAGCATAGGGACCGAAGACCGCATTTGGCGCACTCAAATTGGTTTCAGATGTGGCCGGCGAACAAACGATGCGATATTCGTGGCTAGACGGATTCTCGAGGATGCTTGGGCTACACAGCAAGGATCGTCACTGCGACCCGAATAGGGCATTGGATCGGGCAACAGCTTTCGATGCTCGATGCAATATCGCCCAGCGTATTGTCGATGTCATTGCGGCGATCTGGCTGCCCATCTAAATTTGTTGACATGAGTGAGTCGATGTATGTTCTGTTGCCGTCGTCTCCAATTCGGGTGCCATGTCGGCGCAGCGGAACCAGGCGGTCCGGCATATGTCACTGATGTCCACTGTTACCGTTTCTTTTCAAATCGTAACGACAGTTTTGTCGACAGACGTTTGTTCCATGTTCATTGTGCGCATGCCGAACGCTGCAGAACTTAATTGTGTCATGGAGGTCGTATATGTGGACGACATTCCCCCTGATTGATGTCGTGCATACAGGGGCGCGGGCGGCAACATGGACTGAACCTGCGATGGTGCAAGTAGATGTGCTGCGCATTCGCACCAGGGCGGATGTCATCCATGTCGCAGATGTGGTGGTGATACAAAGCAACAATTTGATAACACGGGCACGCAATTGTCCGCAGATGGCCGGAGCGGCGCAGAGTTTGACCGTCTATATTACCACGGTTAGGCAATGTTTCCACGTGTTGGGCGCACTCCTCTCGCACTTGACATCCGGACGCAGCCAGAAACTGCGCATGTTTAGCCCGTGCGTCGTATCTGAATTGACATATGCCTATTTGCAACAAGCATCAACCAGGCGGAGCGCCAGATAATACGTTGATAGCAGGTCCGGTGTTTCAAGAGGGGTTTCTTGGCTTCAGCGTGTCACAATCGTGTGTAAGCAGAGTCTCGAACAACACAGTGTTCAGCATAGCGAAACAGCGGTTTTTTGACCGAGCAGGTTGGTAAACAGCAGTTGCTCTTCATAGGCAAGCTTGCGGGATGCCCGAGCACAGACTCTGTGCGCATGTGTGTACTTGAATCTGGGATCAGCGACGTACGAACGCCACTTGGCCTTCGAAAGACAGACCAGCCCCGACAGAGTTGTGGGCATAAAGGTGATGGACAGTTGTTTGCGCGTGGCCGGTTCCGCGTCTCGCGTTGCTGATTATTTCCGCCCCGTGGGCGGTGCAGTGCGAGTTCGGGCGTAGGATCATCCGACTAAGAAGCTGATGAAGGAGGAGGGGGAGTAGGGAAGAGGGGGCAGGATGACAGCCCTTTCCAGTTACAGGGAGAAGCGACGATTAATGGAAGGAGGACGCATATGGAGGAGAGGCGGATGGAGCGGAAGGGAAACGCTTTTGCGAATCAGAACGGTTAGTTTTGGTGGTCATAGAGGTATCTTGGAACTTCTTGGAAACCAGTCGTGTCCATGTTAAGATTCCCTTGTGTCTTGTTCTTTGGGGGAACTCATGTTTTACCTGTAGAGGTGCATTTCCTGTGACCTGTCTTCGGATCCCACGTGGAACAGATCCTAGACCTGCCTCCATGTCCTTCTGTACAGGTGCATTTCTTGTGACAATATCCGGGAACATCCCCTCCTGGGATGCTCCTGGGGCGCTCTTGGGCGCTCCTGGAGCCGTCTTAGACCCTTCGTGGCCACTTGTTGGGGTCCTTTGGGGCGGTCTTGGGGCGATCTAGGAACTTCGGAGGCCCCTCGGGAACGAAATGGCCAGACGCCAAAATACGTTGGCAACTGCTTGTTTTTGACCTGACCTTGGTCTCTCGGAGGTCTCCGTGGCACTCCGTGACCACTTGCAGCTAGCGGCTCCTGTCCAGTCTGGGCAACGTCTGCTGTTGGGCGTAGCCTCAATGCCTCGGGGGCCCCATGGGCGTGCCAAGGCGCGGTGGCATGCTTCGTAAACGGACTTCTCATCCCGACGTGCCCGATGCATCGCTGCATCAGTGATGTCGCCCCCCATGCCTTCGAGGTCGACAGTCTTAGAACGCGCGCCACCCTGGACGCCCTGGACCCCTCGTCCTTCCCTGCGGGATCGATCCTTGGTGGTAGCACCCGGGCCCCGAGAAGGCCATCGGCCCCCAGAACCTGTTCCCGGGTGCGTATTGGGTCCCGGCCAGAAGGTCGAGGCGGGTCCGTGGCGACGAGGAGCCTCAGGGAGGCCCGATGCACGGTCTAGAGAGCTCAGGAGCAGGAGCGTGGATCCAGGAAGAGCCAGGCACGAGCGCCTCCCTGATCGTCCTGCTCCTCCCGTGCCCCGTGGTTGAGCGGCCAGGGGGAGCAGGAGGGGCGTTTCTCCCGCCAGAAGATTCGAGGTGGGGCGGGCTGACAGCCTCGAGACAGAGGTCAATGCAAGCGGGAGTCAGCAAGCTGGATCGTGCAGGATCCTGCAGAGCGCCAGGGCTGCATTGACCCTGGCCAGCGCGCAGGATCCTGCAAGGCCTGCTCCTCCTCCTCCTCCTCCTCCTTCTCCTGAGGAGGAGGAGGAGGAGGAGGAGGAGGAGGAGGAGGAGGAGGAAGAGGAGGAGCACTGACCCGTGTCATTGCGTCCTCGAGCGGGGGGAGCGCCCCCGCCCCCCCCGGCCCCGTCCTCGAGCGGTCTCCGCAGGCGGCGGGGGCCGAGTGGAAGGCGCTGCCCGCGGAGCGCAGGAAGCCCTACGAGGCCGCCTACGAGAAGGAGGCGGTGGCGTACAGGCCGGCCGGGGGCGGGGGAAACCACGCGGCATCGGGCGGGCTGGGATGGGAATGGCCCAGGCCTCCCATTCGGGGTCCGAGTATATAGATCGCGACGGTGGATGGGTCCTCGTCGCCGGTGCATCGGCGATGCGGAGCGATGTGGAGCCCGATTTTCTCGATGCCGACGTCGCCGATGCATGGCCGATGTCGAGGATGCGTCGCCGATGCATCGCCAATGTATCGGCGATGCATCGGCGATACGGCGCCATCCTCCGACCTCGTCTACTCGAACCCCTTCCAGGGGGCTGTAGTCGGGCAGGGCTGGGACAGGGATAGCTCGTTCCAGAGCGTTCCGGGACGCTCTTAGAGCGTTCTGGAACGCTCCTGCAGGGCCTGTCTGCGCCCGAGGAATCCTCCAGAGTCTACGGATCGCAAGGATCCCCGATGTGTCCCTGTTTGGTCTTGTCCCCGCCCTGGTTTCGTCGTGTTGTTTTGGGATCGAGGCCAGATCCCCTCGCATCATGGGAAGGCAGGGTTCGACATGAACGGTGTTTTGGCGACTTCGTGGGCCGCTTGCGTTTTGACTTCGTTTTGCGGCAGAGGCGGACCGAATACAAAACGAGGGAACACGTTCGTAAATCGAAAGCAAAAAACACTGCTTAGGTTGGCCCCTGTCCCAGACATGCGACGTCCTGATTTTTTCAGGACGGCGTCTTTGGAAGTCCCCCAAGGACCAGTTGTTCGTCCTGAGTCGTTTTGTTGACGGTCCCGAGGCCCAGCGAGGGCCCACCGAGGCCGAAATTATCAACAAAAAGTCTTGTCCTGATTTTTACGGCGCGGTCAGGTCTGGGGTAGAAATGTCTTGGCGGGAGGTTTTTTGGCCATTTTCAGCTGCGCCTGGGGTCCTCGCCGGGCTCTCGGTGGCCATCAGAGAACGAGGTCGAGAGGAAACGCAGGTCCTGGGGGAGGGGGGTGTCGGCGGCGAGCGAGGGGGGAGAGTGCTAGCCCTAACAGCACAATGAAGACGTGGCCTCGATAAGAGAGCCCCTAACCCTGATAACACGATGAAGAATGAGGTGGCCTCACTGAGGTCCCCGTCTTCGCGTTACATCTGGGCGGTTTGATTCGATACGCCTTCAGAAATGACCCCCTAATCACCCCCAATGGTCCTGGCCCTCCTGACTAAGGTCCTCTTCCAAAGGGTCAGGTTCCTTTTTGGGTTAATCAGAGAAGACCTTCTCAGAAGGCGGCGGCACTTCTCAGAAGCGCGGCCTTCTGAGGCGCTTTCGGCGTCTTCGGGCAGGGCTCGGGAACTTTTCAGAAGGCCGGGAGATGCCCGCCCCCCCTCCATTTCCCACCCTCTCTCGCCGCCGAGTCTAGACCTCAGGGGCTGCACGTCATGAGGAAATCGCGACGACGCGGCAGCGACGCGTCGGCGCGGGCGTTCGAGTTTGAACGCCGCCAGTGGCCCAGAATCTGTCGACCCTCCTCCTTCCTCCTCCTCCTCGTCCTTCTCCTCCTCCTCCTCCTCCTCCTCCTCCTCCTCCTCCTCTCTCCTCCTCATCCTCCTCCCCCTCCTCCTCCTCCACCTCCTCCTCCGATCGGTGCTATCGGAGAGCCGCTCTCGCTTAGGGTGGAACGATCCACACAGTGTCAGAAAACACCGCCGACGTCGTCACGACAAAAACCAACCGCAGAGGTCCTGGGATGATGTTCCCTTTTGGACCTCCCAGATCTAGGCCTCCCAGATGGGGTCGGAGTAACTATTTGGGGTCGAAGGATCGCGCCGCATCGCCAATGCATCGCCGATGCAGGCGATGCGGCTCGATGTGGAGCCCGATTTGCTTCACGTCGAAGTCGCCGACGCATCCACGACGTCGACGTTGCATCGCCGGCGCATGGCCGGTACATCTCCGATGTATCGGCGATGCGGCGCGATCTTCCGACCCCATCTACTCCGACCCCATCTAGGCGGCCTCTACCGGGGCGAGCTCGTTGCCACGACAGGGCCCGCCTTACAGTTCTGGAGAGCACGCCCCCCTGACATGTCCAGGTGTCGATCTTTCCCCCCGAGTCCAGGCCGCCAATTCCTCGGATAATGTGTCGCGGCGGTGTCCTAGACTTGCATGTCAGGAAGAGCAGAGGAAATGGAGGAGGGGAGAGAATCCTAAGATTTTTTTTGCTGCGGACCTCTGCCCGTCAAGCTTCCGAAGTGATTGCCAAGCAGGTGAAAATTGTTAATTTTAAGTCGATGAGCGTATCGATGGCGCTCCCCCAATCAAGACACTTGTTCTTAGGGGGTTTGCCTTGCCTGAGCCTCTTCAGCGCCTCACAGTTATATGCCTTGAGGGCCGCCGGGCCATTCGTGGCGATTCGGCACTCCATGCGCAAATCGCGAGGCTGAGATTCCGCCCAGCATCCGCACAAGCCACAGAAAGCGAAGCGGCCTTTACTCGAGGCAGCGTGGCTGTCATGCACCCTGTGCCCGTGGACGTAGGCAGGGGCAGGCAAACGTCGAGGGGGTCGGTCATGCCAAGCCTACACCAAAGGTCATCATCGATTGGTGCTTTGCCGACCTGCCAGCCCCCCGCTCGCCGCCCTCTAGCCCGCCGTGGACGCTCAGGCGTGGGAGGCGCAGTGTACACAAGGGCCGCACACTTCGAACGAACCGTTCGGAAAAACATGCGAGCGGCGGGTTGCCACAGTTTGTTGCACGCTGTGCACCTCCATATGTCCTTGGCTACGGGCTCGAAATCATGGCTGGAAGCCTCAAGAAGTGCAATCCCAACCTGCCGCCGGCGGACCACTTGCGGAAGCCGGGCACGATGCACTATGCGCTCTGGATTATTGGGGGCCCTGGCTTTTTCCAATATGATGGAAGCATTACGTCGCAAGATGCGGCAAGCCAGATTTTCAGAATCAACAACTTCACGAACAACATCGGCCAGGATCTGGGCGCTCGCCGCCCGCGCCGTGGCCAGAGCATCCGCGATCGCATTGATGAAAAGACGATGCGGTACCAGAGAAGCTGCCAGACGAGCGAGCTTCGCCTCATCATCGGCACAATGGCTAGGCGTGTAAACTAAATCAACCATGCCAGACCGCAATTCGAGCAGCTGCCAGAGCTCCCAACACAGATCAGCACTCTGCAACCGAAGGGTGTGATGACGTCCCTTCGGAAGTAGCCGTTCTGGCTCAGGCATCTGCCTGTGCTTGCAGCAGCTTAGATTCAGAACGGCACACAACTGTTGCGGGCCTTTGTGGCTTTCTTCTTCGCAGTTCGCGGGATCTCAACCCGCAGTCTTTCATTATTGCTCCTGTGGGAGCTTCTCGGTTACCACGACTCAGTCGGAGCGATGGCTGGTGGAGGATCTGGCGGGCATGGTCGAGTTTCGTGGGCGCCGTGGCATCGTTCATGGGCAGTGCCTCCTTCTGGAGGGAGGGCCCACCATGGCGCGGCAATCCGCCGCCCCCCGAAGCGTGACCAACAAGCGTGGCCTCCCTTGGTCCCTGGCCCGCAGGGTACTCCTCCTGGCGGTGCTGGCCATCCTGGCCACAGTCCTGCTTCCAAGAGATGGACGTGCAGCATGTGCGGTTGCAAAAAGAATGAGGCCAGGTTCTTCTTTTGCAAGCATTGTGGTCAGCTCAAGTGTGACTCAGTCCAGTATGACTTCGGCCGTGTCTTCAGGCAAGTCGCTTGCCATGTTCGGTGACGGCCCCAGCTCCGCAGGGAAGTGTGGCGAGAAGGGTGTTTCAGGCTCTGGCAAAGGTGTGGCTGGCGCCCCCTCTTCGGCTGGCGCTCCCCAGCTCACAGCGGACGAGTACCTGCAGTTGGCGGCCCTTCACGACAAGATGGGCGACTCACGGAGTGCAGCGGCGCACCGCACCGCGGCTGCAGCTCTATCGGCGCCCGCCCCAGCGTCAGTCTCGGTTCAGGCGCTTCTCAACAAGGCACATCAGAAGGCTCGTGCGATTGAGAAGAAGCTTGAGAGTGCTGTCAGCAAGTTCGAGATGCTGGAGGCTCAGCTCGCGGCTCAGAAGGACCAGGTGCTGGTTCTGCGCAGTGACTTGGAGCAGGCAGAAGGCGAACATGGCGAGCTCGTTCGGCGCCTTCACAACGAGCTGCCGAGTACAGGCCCCCCTTCTGACACGGCCTCTGGCACGAAGCTCTGCTTGGAGGATTTGCTGGACGAGAAGCGCTTCTCGCAGATGTTCGATCGATCTTGATGTGCGTGACTGCTTCGCGATCACAGACGACGAGCAGCTCTCTCCTGAAGAGGCCAAGCAGTTGGCTGATCGGGTGGACCTCTTCAAGTCTGGCATCACGGGCATGGCGCGATCCCTGTTCGCTGAGGCCAAAGCGAAAGTGGATGCGTTGCGTGAGGAGCACAGGCAACTTTCTCAGCGCATTGCCAAAAAGCGGAAGACGGAAGGTGGTGCTGCAGTCGACGGTGCAAGAGTTCAAGGCGAACAGTCGCCTCTTGCAGCAGGCACTGGCAAGGATGAGGCTCCAGCGACTGGTACTAGCTGCGGAGACCGCCCAGAGGCAGGTCCTGCTGCTGCCGGCGCTGCCTCTGAGCAGGCATCATCGGTGTCGGCTTCTCCTACAACTCCGTCAAGTACCAGGGCGCGTGCTGACAGGATTGCTGGCGCTGCCTCTGCTTGAGCCCCTCCTGGAGCCCGCGAGTCTTGAGTTTTTTCTGAGCCATGGGATCTCTGGCCTCGGACCTCGGGGATCCCGGCCGCTCGGGGTGGCCTGATTGGCCGCGAGCTCGGACAACGGTAAACTCCAGGGGGGCAAGGTTTCTTCGATGAAGATGGGCCGCTCTGCGGCTCAGGTAGCTCTTTGGCGTCAGCGAGGCCTCCCTCTGGTGTTCGCTTCCTCCTCTGCTGATTCGTGCTCTCAGAGGTTGAAATCATTTCGGAGGGCCCCACCGTCTACCCGATGGCGTGACCTCATTGCTCGTGTGGATTCTGCAGTTTCGAAGGCTGCCGACCACCTGTGCCCCCCTCTTTTT